GAGGTATTATGTTGGATAATTGAAGAATATAAAGAGACATATTAAATAATAACAAGTTAAGGAGTACGGATACGTGATATTCCGAGAACATTTTATAATTTCTTATAAAACACTATCTTTAGCCCTTTTTTTTGAACCCCCATCTTTACCGGTTTGGAAGGGGATTTTTTTGGACTAAAATAATTAAAATGTCAAAATACTCAATTACATCACTTTTTTTTATTTTTTTTGCACATTTTTTTTTTTGTAAAATAAACTAAAAAATCAGTTAAACTAACCAATTTCCAAACAAGTCAGTTTTGAATTTTTCAAATCATTATAACAGGAGATCAAATCTTGTCTAGTCAAAATGTTTGAAATGATACTTTTATTTTCATGTATTTTTGTTACTTTATTATCAACTTTGATTTAACATTTTGGTCAAATATATGCATGCGGCATTCTCTTATTATAATCATCATGGCTTTGGAGTAATTATTTGGTGGTTTTGGAATATTATTTTACATTATTTGTTAAACACTTATTAAATTGTTCTTTGAAATAAAATTAATAAATAAATAAAAAAAAAAGAAATCTCATTGTTTTAACCAATCAATGTGAAGCTGGACACCACATGAATTTACCTCAAGAACAAAAAAATAACTTCTCATAGCTCTGAGATCTACCATGTCATAGTGTTTACGGTTCAAAAAAATAAGCATTATTTCATGTTTTTATGAATAATTGCCATGGAGTACCACAAAAATTCCATATGGACGTGGCAAATTTTTTTTTTTTTTGATCGGCGAAAAAAGAACTTTATTGATGGAATAAACAAGTATCAAGTCCAGAGCGAATTACATCAACAAAGAAAAAGGGAGGTGCAAAAGCATCACAATGAGCTAAATCATCCCAATAAGGTTGGCACCATCTAACTCAACCTATCAATAAAGAAAAAGGGACGTGGCAATTTATTAAAAAGAAAGAAGAAAAAAAAGGAAGAAAATTTCATGAAATTTCGTTCAATAGCATCATGCCAGCTTCGATGGTTGAAAAATAGTACCGTAGGAAGTAAAATTCATGCTTTCCCACTACGTAGTGGAGCATGTAACATGAGGGACGAGCAGGATACGTGGCAGGACGGCCGGGCAAAGCTGCCGGCTTGGCAACCAAGTTGTATGGCAAATCAGACGGCCAAATTTGAGTAGTGGGTCGACCAAGTCATGTAAGAGCCGTGCAAAATAATGAATAATTAAGGAAAGCTAGGACCCAAAAAAAACCTAAAGAAGTCGGAGGAGGAGGCGTGGAGTGCAGCATATGAAGCTTTTAACTAAACTTCTATTAAAGAAAAAGGAAAAAAGGATAGAGAGCTTACAATAATGATGTTACGTATATATCAATTAATATACCAATTGATATTGTCATTTCAAAAAGAATAGAGATCTTACAAACTTTCCCAACCTGGAAAGCCAGTTTTCGTTGCTTCAGACAACATAAACCATTGAAATGCAAATTTTATTATAATGGAACATTACAGAAGAAAAGGGATTGCACATAACAAGCTTGACTATAGAATAAACATTAAGCTATCCACAAAACAAATGGTAGAAAACATGCAAACGCAGCAAAAACAAAAGGGCAAATTACACTTGGCACACATGCACTTTACATTTGCCTCATGATCTTTAAAAAGTGATAGTGAATATCGTATAAGTTTCAATCCATCCCATCTGTTAACTCATGTTAAATAAGATGCTTATTTTTCTATTTGCCTTATTTAACATGTGTTAACAAATGGCTTAGATTGGAATTTAACAGAAAATGTGAGGTATTTTATTTTATTTTTTTGATCGGCAAATCAAGAAAATGTGAGATATTAACTGTCACTTTTTTAAACGCGACGTTAGGTGGCAAAGTAAAACTGGTGTAAAGTATAAGGTGCTAAGTGTAATTTGCCCTTTACTGTATTGTCCTAAAAGTGGCCATGTAAATTTCACGTGTTACATTTCCGTTTACTAGAATTAACATAAGTGAACAGATGGATTAAATTGAAACTTGACCAAAAGTATGAGGTGTTAATCGTCACTTTTTAAAGGTTAAAAGATAACTTTTTGCACATCTTTTCGTAATTAGTCAAAAAGTCATCCCAAACATACAAGTTTTTTTTACCTACCTTTTTAGCCAAATAGCCAAAAAATTACTAAATTAGCCTGTTCCCAAACGAGGCCTAAGTTGGCCAAGACGCCAAGTGACAAAAAAAAAAGCGAAAACCCATTACCCAACCAAATTACAAGCTGCAGCAGCAGTAACACTCCTTCGAAAGCCAATATTAACAACTCCATGATACTGGGGATGTTTATTTGGGCTTTTTTGAGCCAATTTATAACTTTTAACATTTGAAAAGTTATTTTGGACTGTTTGGTTAAATTTATTTCAAACAGTTTCTGATTTTAACAACTTATTTTAACTTAAAAAAACTAATTCTGAGAAGCTGCTTACCCCTTACTTCTGATTATTAGCTTCTATTGTAGACATATTAATTTACGGTTATACTCTTAGATTTTTTTTATTTTTTTAAAAATAGAGAAAGACCTAAATGAACTATAGATTATTAGTGAATAATAAAAAATAAAAATTAATTGAAAAAACGACTTCACAGTTTATTTAACAAATACTACTAAACAACTTAAATTTATAATCAAACAACTATATTAAACAAATTAACAACTTTTGATTAAAGTCATAATCTATAATATATTTTAACAGCTACACACAAGGTTTTAAAAAGCGGCCGCAACCGTTACGTAACGGTTATGGAGGTTACTGTCACCTGTTACGGCTGTTTTTGCAGTGTGATTGAGATTCACAGGTATGTTGGCCGTAGCGGCTACCGTAGCGGTCGTAACGGCCTGTTACGCACTGTTACGTAATAGTTCCGAACTGCTTCTTTTGAAAAAACACAAAAAAAGTTGAAAAATTGAGGGAAGAGGGATAGAGAGAAGAGAAAAGAGAGAAGATAAAGGGAGAAGATAGAGGAGCAAGAGATAGAGAGGGAGAAGATGGAAGATGAAGAATATGTCATTGATTTGTTAAACCTGTAAGATCTACGCTATTCTATTCAGCTGCTATCACTCAACTATTTTTTTTTTTTGTGTGTCTATCTATATATTGTTTGAAACTAATAATAATAAGTGTGATCATTTTCTATTTGGTATGAACCTATTATATATATATAGGCTCTTATTTATTCTCTTACTGTTGTCATTGTTTATCTTATGTATAATAGTTAGTGATTGATTTTTTATATAATATAAAGCCACTAATATTAATTATTAAAATAAAATGTAAAAAACTCAGTTTATAATGATTTGAAAATATAAAATATATTGAATCATACTTAAAAATTTATAAAAATTGATCAATATTTATTTTAAACCCAATAAATATGATCATGGAAAAATAATATGTGTATCGGTAAGTTTTTTTCAAATTGTGTGAAAAATAAAAAAAATTACGGTTCTGATTACCGCAACCATTACGCTACGACTTTTACACCCCGTAACCGCAACCGCGCCACCGCCACCAAACGGAGCCACTATAACTTCATCACCTAAACACCTCTGGTTTGCATATCAACAACTAAACATTTCTGTTTTGCAGCCATGATATTGAGTTTTCAACAAGAAGTAACAAACTAGTTGCATCAGAACCTTCCCAGAGCATTGGGGAACTCAGTAATCCACCCAAAGTTAGACCAGAGAAGAGCTGCATCATGATATTGAGTTTTCAACTAACAGAAACAAACAAACCCTTGCAAACAACCTAACAACACATCAATTACATCCAAAAGCACAAATTGTGGTTACTACACCACTTGAATTGAATCCACCCACCATTAACCTAAATTCAAATTCATGTACCTTCCAAAACTGCACAACACCTTGCAAATCCACCGGCAACACCAGCTCACCCCTTTCATATCAAAAAAACCACCATAACATGAAAAAATATCTTGAAGAATCAGCAGCCCAACACAAAGCGGTATCCCTTCCTTGCAATAAGATGAAATTTTTGGTGGTGGCCTTTTTTTTTTTTTAGATAAGTAAGTCATATTATAACCAAAAAAGAAAAATATACAATGAAGTTCAACACATAGCTTTTGATGGGAGCACAAAAATAAACAAAATAAACTACTCCATCAAAAAACAAACTGAGCTTATAGAAACAAGCACAACATTCTCAACAAAACAAGGATTCAGAATTTCCTTCTAGCATTCTTCAAGTCATGAAGTTTCGCTTTAAGTTTTCTTCTGTTATCCTCTTTTGAAGTCTCCCCATAACTAGGATCACTTGGAGATGGACTCCCTCTATTTCTTAACTCTTGACTTGAATCTCCATTTCCTAACTCGTCCATATCACCAAGGACATCAAAGGCATTAGATGTTGAGGGGATAGAAGTCTGCGTCTCTCTCTCTTTGTTGATCAATGGCGTTGAACCTTGCCCACCATCTCTCCCATTTTTCTTCACCACTTCCCATTTAGTCGGAATTTGTGTTTTAGTGTCCTTGACTCTCCACTCATGTTTGAAGGAGGGAGGGTTCAAAGACTTTGGCTTTTGAGGGCACAAATTAGTGGTATGGCCAAAAGTCTTACAACCATCACACCTTTGGGGCTTCCATGGTACCTCAACTTGAATCTCATATGAGTCACCATAACTAAGATTTATTTTGAAAGACTTAGGGATCTCTTTATTTGCTGGCACTTCAACTTTTTTTTTTTTTTTGGTGGTGGCCATTTCTTCAAGACAAGACAGTTGTTATCTCGGAAATCTAAAGACTGAAGAACGCCTAAGAAGCATGTTTTTAAATATCAGCCGTCTAATATCCGTCGATACATTAGGGATTGGATACTTTTGATATCATTATTTACTTATACATCAGTCCGATACTATCCAATACAACCTAATATATAACTATATTACCAATACCAATAGGTATATCATTATTGAAAACAACGAAGAAGAAGACAAAATAGTGCCAAACTATTATTAATTTACTTGAGCTAACGTCAACGGTAGCAATGCATGAACTATTAAGGAAAGCCAAACTGGACACACACACACAAAAAAAAAAAAGGATGGAGCAGTAGCAGCTTCTGGACTTTGTTATCAAGAAAGAAATACAAGATGTGGCGGAGGCAGTGGTAGTGATGAAAAATAGGTTTTATGTGGAGGGGAGGACTTAAAACTTAAACCTGAAACCTTCTGAGAATAGCAGTTCTCAAGGCCTCTTCACTAGTCAATCCATCAGGAACCCTAACCACAATGTCTTGAAGCACCAGCTCCTTCACCTTCGATACGCTGGCGTGATGAACACTAAACTCTAGGGATCTGATTGCATCCATCAATCTCGCCGGCGGGTAATTCACGTCCAGACACTGCACTCGAATTACCGCTTCCGATCCCAGAATCTTCACATTCACTTCTGCTGGCGCCGGAGCCATCCCATAGCTAGACGACGATGACCTTGACCGATGATCAACACTGATTGATGTGCTTTGGTTGTCGTACACATCCGTAATGCACATCCTGCTGGGTACTGCGGCTGCCGCCACTGCTACCGCTTGGGATTGTTGGTGGACTCGGAGTTTGGCCTCCAATTCTTCAGTCTTCGCTTTAAGCTCTTTGATGTATGCGACTGCATCAGCAAGTAGAGATGCTTTGTCCATCCTTGATACATTGGGGACTACGCTTCGAAGTGCGTAGAATCGGTGGTTAAGCTTCTCCCTCCGTTGCCTCTCCGCCTCCACGTGGTTTATGGGCGTTTCTCGTCCGGTGGTGATCGGCTTCCTTCCTCTCTTTTTAGAATGAACGTTTATTGCCGAGTCTGAGAACAGAGGGCCTTCAAAATCATCAGAAGGCCCTCCTGAGTCCGACGATGACCGCCCTGTTATACCCATTTCTCTGTTCAAATTCGTTTCCATTTGCTTCTCTTCATAGGTGTCATCTTGAATTCCAGAAACACCAAAGTCTAGCAGCGAAAGATTCCGGTTGGGGAACGGAATCTGACCCACCACGTGACTGCCACCACCAGGCTGTTTTGAAACCATGGTGACATCGTCAGAGCCAAAAAGAGACTTGACTAGTTGTATTAGTTCCCAATCTTCTTTGATAATGTCGGAGGAACCCAGTTCAACAACACCACATGAAGTTGAAATACAAACCAATGTTTGAATCTTGTGGAGATGGGCTTCTTTTGCTCGGTGACAGTCGTAAAACTTAAGCTCATGCTCACCGGCTAGCCACACACAAGCAGCAGAACTAAAAGTCCGGCCAAGAATGTCATCGCCAGCAACAAATGACTTGGTCACAGAGCCCATGTAAAACCACTCCGGGTCAGTGACATCGCCCTCAACAAGACCGTCAATGTCGGAGTTGTCGCGGAAGAGTGCTTGAACCCTCCTCTCCAAATCAAACCCGGACTTTGATTGGTGGTGATGCTGGTGGTGATCGTGTCCATTGCTTGCTAGCTTAGACACAAATTGTTTGGTGCCGCGAAATTGGCCATCAGCCCATGATAGAATTAATTGGTCATTGCTATCTTTTGTTGCTTGCCAGAAGATAGCATAGACCCACCATTCGCTTCGGCTTTGAATGATGAGTTGGAGGCGTTGTTGAAGACTTGGTGTCAAAGTAGAGGAAGACATAATTTCATCCATGGCTTCTCTCCTCTTTCTTGTTGCACTCACAAACAATTTATCTTCTCAGAGAAAGAGAGAAAAAGAGAGGAATGAGTTTGGGGCTAATGGTACTTTGGAATTTCATGCCATTAAAGGGGCAAGCCATTAAAGGGCAGTCAATCCGTGTGAGTACTAGCATCTAAAACAGTTGCAGTCGCTGTTTAAAAACATTTTCACGTGGTACTTTTGATCAGCTCTTGACCATGCTGAAGGGAGAGAACAACTTCAATCGAAGGGAATCACGAATTTGTTTGCATAACCCCTGTCCATCTCAACTCCACAGGCGTGGACTTGTCCGGACTCTGATTATGTTCACATATTTAAAACAAACACTTTTTTTTATTGATCTAAAGTAATAAAAATAGACTTAACTAGTTAAAAATTATTACACTATATGAATTTAATACCCACCACACAAATATCCACTTAAAAAATTATGAATGGATATGTCTGATTTTCAAATTTTATCAAATAATAAATTTATAATTTTAAATGGGTTAGTACACTTTTTGAATGAGATTAATACGCATTTGTCGTACCTTATATTATAGGAAAATTTATTAGAAAATCTTTTTTCAAGTGTTTGTTTCCCAATTAGTTCATAAGATATTCTTATATTCTAATAAGTCTTATTATTTGGACATTTGATTTACCAAATCTTAATTATCATATTTAATGTATTTATGGACATTTATACCCTTATAAATATTTTTTGAACAGTTTGCAATTTGGTGATGTGAACATTCATATTTAACAATATGAATATGCACATTGACGTGTGAATGTTCACATTGACATGTTAACATTCACATTAATGGTGTGAATATTCACATTATGGAACATTCACAATATAAATGTGAATATTATTATGGGTATTTTGGTAACTATGTCACCCATTGAACTTATTGAAACATAAAAAAATAATGCGAATTAAATAAAATATAAATATGTAAAAAGGAATTTATGAAAAAATGTCTCTATACTATATTATGTTTTTCATCATATATGCCTGCACTATATTAAAAATATATATAATTAGTAAAACTCATTATTAAAATGTTGTGTGGACAAAAATGATACATTTATCATATTTTACACCATATTATATTTGTATAATTATAAGATTACTCGTTTTAAATTCAAGAAAAATGTTTGAGGATCATAATTTTTGTGGTCATAATGGCTCAAAACTGTCAAAATGACGTCATTTTTGGTGCAAAATATGTCAAAACGACATCGTTTTGATAATTTTGAGCCATTATAACCACAAAAATTATGACCATTTAGCATTGTTGTAAATTCAAATCGTTCCACTATTTTAAATCAATCAAATATTATGTGTCAAAACGTGAACTAATACATTCACTTCTTGGTTGGCGGGGCCATCTTGTCCCCTGGGAATAGTACAAAATTTTGAATATTAATTTTTTTTTTAATTTGTAAAATTGTTTGGGTAACATTTGGTAACATTTTTTGGTAACGTTTACATTTTCAATTTATATTTATAAAAATTTTATAAATTGGTTTTTGTTTATTTTTAGAAAAATATAAACTACAAATGCTTTTGGTAATTGACAAAATGTTTTAAAAAATTTAAAAATATAAAAAAGAGTGAGAAATGACAAGTGGTGGCAAGTGGCGGTGGAAGACGGTGGTGGAAAGTGGTGACGGTGGGTAGCGGGTGGTGGTGATGGGTGGGTGGGTGATGGTGGCGGATGGTAGCGAGTGGGTGGTACACAGGCTATGTTTATAAAAATTTTATAAATTAATTTTTGTTTATTTTTATAAAAACATAAATTACAAACGCGTTTGATTTGGACAAAATATTTTTAAAAAATTAAAAACATTAAAAAAAAAAACATGTTTATTAAGGCTTAAAATATTTATATTTATAATGACTTTTTACTATTTTTTCAAGAGTGGCCTTCGTTTTGATTTTGGTAAATTTTTATGATAAATTTTTAAATTTTTATAAATATAAACTGAAAACTAAAAATAAAATGGCTACCAAACAAGGACTTGGTATTTATTGAAATATAAGTGTCTAATGTAAATAAGTTTTTGATAAGCAATGAAATTAAAAAAAAAATTATTTATGTAGTACACTTTTTATTTTTTTGATCTGCATACACTTTTTATCTTGAAAAATGCTTGGGAGCACTAATTAGTGCTCCCACTAATTAGGTGGCAGTGGGTCCCGTCATTTTGGTTTTTTTTTTTTTTTTTTTCTTTGTTTTGTGTCTCTTCTCTGTCTCATTTCAGATTTGGTTTGAGAAAATAGGCAATTCCAGCAACGACGACGATACCATTGCAGCATCAAAATCCCTTCGACTCACCGGCGGCGAACAGCACCATCGAACTCTGGGTTGAGAAAAACATTAAACCAAATAATAGCATAAAGATCTTTTAAATCTACTAGTTTGATGGATCTTCAATCATTCATAACCAAATAGATCTGCAGATTTGCAACAGATTTGTTGTTTTAAAAAAAAAAAACCATAGAAGGTCTTGGTGAAACACAGAGAAGAGAGAGAAGAGGGAGACCCGAGATTCAATAATGTGGTGTTCCAAAGATTCGAAACGTGATCGCGGTCTCACAAATCATTTACTGTAGCTCCGCTACAGTGATTTCCGCTACAGGGGCTTCTGTTTTTCTGTTTATAAATCAATGCAAACATATTTTTTTAGTTTACATTTTTTTGGATAAATTTACAATTTGAGAACTGAAATTATAAATCAAAAAATTTAACAAATAAGTTTTTATGATAAATTTTTAAATTTTTATAAATATAAACTGAAAACTAAAAATAAAATGGCTACCAAACAAGGACTTGGTATTTATTGAAATATAAGTGTCTAATGTAAATAAGTTTTTGATAAGCAATGAAATTAAAAAAAAATTATTTATGTAGTACACTTTTTATTTTTTTGATCTCCATACTTTTTTATCTTTGTAGCCACTTGGTGTGATAATAGTGTGGTGTTGGTGTGATGTAGTACGGATGGCGGAGACAACAATGATGCTTAATTGTGTGACGGGCAATGATAGTAGAGGTGGTGGCATGACAATTTTTTAACATTTGCCTTTAGAATAGGGATAAGTTTTCTTTCATATTTCATTTCTTTATACTTTTCTTGTAAATTTTAATTCATATCCGCATCGATGATCTAAAATATTTATCTTAGAAGTTCTACAATAAATGTATCAATTTAAACAATTAACTTCAACAGAAAATTGTAAATACAAAAATAAATTATATTTTGTTTTATAAAATGAATGGTATACATAATTAAATTTAAACTATCTATTTTATAAAAAAAAATACAATTTGTTCCCATGTCAATAGTTGTCCAATGAAGTCGATTTTTTTGTATTGATGACTTTTATTGTGGAGTCTATGAGATAGATGCGGGTCCAGATTAAAACTCATAAAAAAAATACAAAAAAATATGAAAGGGAGCTTATCTCCTTATTGCAAACATTAAAAAAAAAATCTTTCATATATAAATATATATGCACGAGTATAACACATTAATGTCATAATGATTCTTTAATCAAGTTGAGATGTTTTAAAATATTAATGAGATAACGTGAGAATAATTTGTGGAAAGCATTTGGCTCGAACTCGATAATATTTATAAAATTTGAGTTTGACTCAGCTTTGCTAAGTTTTTTTTAATTATTATTTATATCATTTAATATTTAAATAATTTATTATTTATATATTTAATATATAAATAATATATTTATTATATAATTTAAATAAAAATAAACGAATTGAATTTAACGAGTTAAATTTATTCAAACTCAAACTTAACTCATTTATTAAATAAATTAAATTAAATTAAATCAACTCACAAAACAGTTCGACTCACTTACAATCCTACCTAAGCGACCGTGTTGCACACCACACCAGCCAGCATCTTCTCTGATTTTGTCCTATTATATCATATGACCTTGGACTTTTATTTTTTAAGATGGGATACCTTAGACTTGAAAAACAGAAAAAGGTCGTTCCTTTTCTCATGAAGATGCGTAATCAAAGTTTTGTCGCATTCATTTGTTCTTAGAGTGGACGGTGCAAATCTAATTGCCTATCATCAACTTTTCTTAATTATTTTTGTTAAGGAATATTTGATATCTCATATTTTATTTTCAAGAATTAATAGTTATTCATGTTTTTGTCCTTAAAGTATGTTGAATCTTTTGATATAAATTCAAGCAAGGATGTATTAATGAACTCATTTTGTAATTATTTAATACGTGAGTGATTCATTTCTAACCTTAATTTATAGTTGGATTTGTGTTTAGACAACATGTTTTTGAAACATTTATATATTGTTTTATTTTTTTTAAATCATGTTACTGGTGTCAACACTAACATGTGGTGTGTAAACTCAAAAATTTATAGAAGAATTTTTAGCTTAAAAAAGGTCTTGACTGAAAATGTCTTGGGGAATTTTGCATTGCCTTTTCTTGTTAACCAAGAGTTAGGATACAAGATCAATATGTCAGTGACTATTTCTAAAGAGAGATGATAATGCCACATGGATCACGGCCAAAGCCATCAAATTCCATGGCTTAGTTCTATTTTCCCATCCTTCTACCGGGTGGACTTTAAACTTTAGATTTTGTTTGGATTATAAATTTGAGTAAGAATATAAAAAGAGAAAATAAAAAGTTTAAAAAATATGAATCAAACAGAAGTTAATTTTTTTTTTTTTTTTCCCATTTTCCTATCTCATTCTAAATACATGATCCAAATGCAACGTTAATGTATGAAAACATTCTCTTAATAAAATTATTTAATATGGGTTCCACTTTGCTTGATTCATATGCCACTAATAATAAAATGGGGTTAACTTATTAACAGAGTAACGATGAAACATTTCTTTTAAAATTAGTGAATGATATGATGACACCTGATAAATTTTTAAAAAAAACAAATAAAACATATTAGTCTTTTCTTGTACACCTCCAACATACGACACAAACCCACCCTACCAGTTTGCTCCTCTTTTCTCGCGTATCCTCCACCGTCGACGGCCTAACAACACCACCCTCTTCTAGTTCCATCACAAATTTTAGCACTAGCAGGCTGATTCTAGCATTACATGTCAGATACAGATAACGCAGTTAGTAAAAGAATTTAAACCATACCTTATGTGATAGAATTCGAAACGAAGAACCTTGTGAGTAAATCATGTGCTTCACAACCACAAACTAAGGCCAAGTTTGGCATGTCTTGAAAAAGACAAAAA